GCACAGTCCATTATGTTCCAAATATGTCCATAATATCCATTATGTTAAGCCAACATTTCAACTGTTTATCCATTATGTTAAGCCAACATTTCAACTGTTTATCTATTACTTTAAAAAGGACCAGTGTGTATAATCTAGTGACATCTAGCAGTGAAGTTTCAGATTACAATTAAGTGAACACCACTGGCGTCTGTCTTTGACGACTAATGAGAACAGGCCATGGAGGGTGTAAGTGTAGAAATTACGGTGGCATCTGTAGATAAAAGCGGCTCATTCTAAGGTAACGAAAAGACAACGATTCCTACATTCAGGTGATTATACACTAATGATAATAAATAATTTCCCTCTGGGATTATTAAAGTATTTCTGATTCTGATTCTGATGAAAACATACCTATTCCATTTCTGCATATAGATCTTCCTAAATGTCACACACTGAACCTTTAAGCTGATATGATAACAACTCTCTCTTTAAATTGTTTATTTGATAATTTCAACAATCTGAGCTGTTTATTCATTAGATTTCCTTTTCTCAACAGCAACATGTAGTGTTAATGTTACAACTGATTCAGGTCGATGGGCAGCCTGCTGATTGTTGTAAATTTACAAAAAAAACATTCAATTTCCTTCCTTAACACAAACATGGATACATTTTAAATATATTAATATAGTATTATTTTTTTATCTTTTATTTGAGTGATTGGAGTTAATTAGTTCAGCTTTTCCACGTTCCCCCTGGCAACTGCAGAAGGACCCACTGGGTAACTGTAACAAGTAATTGATTGGGAATTACCGCCGTACAGTGAACTGTGATGTTTTAGTAATTCCAAGGCAATCTTTTTGATGAAAAGTGTTGTTTGCTTTTTTTTGTGTGTGTGTGTGCATCAACACACCCTTTCTACTTCTGTTATTAATTTGTGATATTCCCCACAGTGAAATTCACTGGGGATACCAGTGATGGTGATGACAGTACAGGGAAGAGAAAATAGATATCTGATTCATAATAATAAATTACAAAAACATAATCCATGTAATGAATATTTGACTTTGGTATTATTAAACAACATTAGTCCTAAAAGGTCCCATCTATTTCTGAGGGTTGTGTATTAAATTGTTGCTTACTGTAACAGATCAAACAATTGCTTATTATAAAAGGACTGCTTGGTAAATATATAACCTATTAATTAGTTAGTGTGACAATATTATGTTAAATCTTTACCCAGTCTGCGGAAACCCTCTGTGCCAGAGACAGGACCTGGAGCCACACTGTTGACTCTCACCCCACTGGGCCCCCACTCCACAGCCAGGTGCTTAGTCATGGCATCTGGGGACAAGACGTGCGACACTGAGTCATTAGATTCTCATTTTGAATTTCATTACATAACGGTAAAAAAAATAAAAAGCTCTTACCATTTGCAGCCTTAGCAGAGCCAGCATGCACCTGGAGGGCCTGCCCCCTGTATGCGAGTGTTGCAGAGATGTTGACTATGTTGCCACCGTGATCCTGCACAGAAAAATGATGAGGGACTCAAAATCAATGCAAAGATGAAATCAGCTTCAGAGATCAGAGGCAGCAGTTTAAAGCCCATTTAGAAATGAGGAGGCATTCAGTAATCTGTGATCTTTACTGTCCTCTTTTGGAGACCAGAGTGAATTGCAGAAAGTGAATCTTACTGAAAGTTATTGATCAATAACCCAATTATGTTCCTGCAGATACAGTATTATCGTCATCCTGAGCTATGTATTTATGAGAAACATTGTGTCACACAGATAGAAACAGTACTGTACCTGGAACCACTTCTCAAAAACCACCTTGCTAGTGTTAAATGTACCCATAGTGTCAATCTCCATTACTGTCTTGAAGGCATTGAAGGAGAGGGCCGCAGCCGGGCAGAGGAAGTTTCCAGCAGCATCTGTCAAAAAACCAAACCAAAGATACAATCATGACACACTGTTGAATGCAAATCCTATGCAAGACAGGCAAAGGAGTTGAATATTCCATTGAGTTTTGGTTAATGTTTCATTAAAGTTACAGTAGCATTAACTATGGGAGATATTGATGAAATAGAGATCACTTTGCATAGATGATCTGCATTTAACTACAGTAATAATCTCGTTGTGACATAAAAGTTTGTAGAGGGGACGAGGGTGCAAAGATAGAAGATAAAGATAGATGCAGCATCAGAAAAGTTGATGATTAAACCAAAACCTTTCACACTTGACCTTTGTTTAAAGTACATATTCTCTTATTCACCCTGCAGCGACTTTAAAATGTATTTGCATTTTATTTTCAATGTTGGCAGGATGCACTGTCTAATAACAAAGCAGCTCCCACCACACACACAAATTATCTTCAGCACTTAAACATATTTTTAGGAGAGGTCACATACTGTTAATGAGGATGTCAATGCGGCCCAGCTCCTTCAGTGTCTCGTCCACAGCAGCTGCGATGCTCTCAGGCTGCCTCACATCTATACACAAAGGGAGACAGCGGCGTCCTGAGGCAGCAGACAGCTTTGTAGCTGCCTGGAGAGAGACACAATCATATTGCATGAGGCCAACACATTAACATTTAGTTACAGTGCATGACATAGAATTTAAATTAGATTATGGAAATTATGTAAGAGGAATAACCTCTTTGAGCTTTTCCAAGTTCCTGCTCGCAATCACTGTGTCGCAGCCGTGTCTGAAAGAAAATAAAGACATGTAACAACGTGGAAAGAGACAACACTAAAGAGCACATGCTGTATTGTGTTGATTATAGCATGACTATGTAATGTCTTCATGAATGCTGATTGTGAGTAATTTATAATGAAAGGGAGCCAGGCACACAAACAAAACCAGTTACAAGGTCTGCTGCTCATTTTGATAAAGGATAACTATTTCTGCCACATGAGTAAATTATTGAACTATTTCAACTCTGACACACAAGCAAAATTATGAAAGTCTGAGTGTCAGATAACACAAGCAAGAGGTTTAAAGTACACCGACATACTATCTCACTCATTTTACTGTTTTAGAGTAACACAGTAATGAAATAATGCTGACAGAGCATTGATTATATTTCTTCAAGATGTGACATTATAATATAATAATAGAAGTGAAATTTGATTACATATTGATATTTCTGCAAGATCTGGGTGCGTCATGGAGAAATCTCACCTCATGAAGATTTCAGCTATCCGGAGTCCAATTCCAGATCCACCACCTGTGATAAAGGCAACCTGATCTCTGAAAAATAAAGTACAAACCCACAAAAAGTCGCTTCATGCATTTATCACACTATAAAGCATGTCAACATTTCTTTTATTATTTTAACTGTGTGAATGCAGTAAAGCCAAAAGATCACTCAAGGCAATGGGAAATACATCCAAAAACACATGTTGCATGCTTACTTTAGTAAATCTGGACTGTAGATGTGTTTGTACGATGTCAGGCAGTCATCTGTACCAACATCTTCGGGCAGCAGCTCTGCTTTTCTCTGTGTCTCTGCCATGCTGATAAATAATGCATGTCAAACAAATGCAAACACACTTACATTACTATAATCATAATGCAATAAATGACCAATCTGTCAATGCAAAGAAACAGCAGAAACACCTTAAAATACAAAAGCCCTCTGCAGCAGTTTGATGAAGCTAATAATGTTTTTGATTGTCACATATTTAAATTCAAACCTTAGTTTTTACTGCCTCTCAGTTATTGTTGATAAGACTCTACCTGTTCCCATTTTACCTCTTTTATCTTAAAGCAACTGTGTGCACATGCTATGTCATGATATTTGTGGTTTAACTCCTGATTTAAAGCAGATCAGGGTTGCAAGTCATGTACGACAGCTCCAACAAAAGACATTCAGACAGATACCAAACAAAGGAGAGTATAATCTAATATCACTGGCCTCATAACAAAGCACCACAGGGCTTTATCGCGTTGAATCAACTGACATCATTATGGGCCTCGACACAGAGTAACAGTCTACCGTACTGCAGGCTACTGAGGGGGGTTTCTGTTGTTTCTATACCTGTAAACTCATTTTAAGTGAGTCTGCTGCTTTCTGTACCGATAGCCTTTAACTGTCAGAACTGTACGTGTAAAGTTCACACAGCTGCTGTCGTATTAACTCACCTGCTGAAACAAACAAACTGGTTGTGCAGCGCTGACTCCTCTGAGGTGAAACGCGACCTGAACACGGAGCACTTATCTCCGTATGAAGGGGCACATTTACTTTTATTCGGTGTTTTTCTCAGTAGGAACTGTTTGTACCTTGGACGCTACTTTTTCGTCGTCCTTTAGCGATGCATTATGGGCAATGAAGTCCGTCCGGGGTGTGTTCAAGAGCACAGATATCCAAACCTATTCTTGTATGTTTAAGACATATGTAATTGTAATAGAGTGGTATTGCCACCTTGCGCTTCAGTTATGTTTGTGATGTTACTTTATGGTTGGTTAAACGCCTTCTTCTTGCCTGATTATTGAGTGCACTGCAGTGTATCTCAGTAGGAAGAACAAAGAAATAAAGAAGGGCTGACATTTAGAAAATCATCTCACAGGAGGGCCACTTCAACATTCAAGTGCTACAAGAAAGCTCAGTATTATGAAAACATTTCCATTACTAGCATCATATCAAATAAAGCCTCAAAGCTTTCTTCTTATGAACCCTTTGCATGTATTTGCAGGCACCTTTGACCTTTGCCATTATTTTTGCACCAAACGAAATACATTTTTGGAGTCAGAATAGAATAGAATACACGATTGTGTTTTTATTTTAACTGTGTATGACAGGGCAGATTAAATTGATATTCAATTCAATGTAATTTTGAATACTTTATACAGCCCTCAAGGGACAATTCAAGCCAAGCGAGTGTGCAAACAGAAGTACGCAGACAATTTAATGAAACAACTCTAAAAAATTATTTAAAAAATAATAATCTTGCGGGCCAGATTATATTATATTTTTGACATCATGCCGTGGGCCAGAGGGAGGGGTATGGAGGGCTGTAAATGACCCATGCACCGGCGGTTTGAGATCCACGCTCTAGGGACTATCAAGTCTTTATCAAGCTGTAAAGCAAAAGGAAACCCAGTGATAACTCTCTAGCTCATCTACAATAACCGTCATCTTCTAGGATGGCTCCAGGGAGGGTCTCCACTGGTAAACCAACACTGAAATAAACGATCCAAAGTTTACGGTTTCAGGGCAGATGCTGATCAGTGTGCATTAGTGCAGAGAGTGCCCCGTATCGATCTGTACTTTGGGATTTACTGTTGGAAAAAGCCCTATGCAATGGATCCCTCAAATACTTTTGGGATGGATATTCTTCTTTGCACTGAGGATCAGAAATGTAAGATGAGTGCTTTTGTAACTTGATTTGTTTTTCAAGAGGGTAAACAAGAGAAAACTCAGAAGCAAAAAAAATAAAAGTGCACAAACTTAGAATTAATGATAACAGATGCTTATGCTTTTTATACACAGATGGTTTTAGACGGGTGCGTTTTCTTCAAATGATGCATTGCCACATTTCAGCTACAAATCACACACATTATTACCCTTTGAATGTGTTTTTTAGCTATTTTCTTTGTAATTAGTTTTAAATATTTGTTCTGCTTTTATTGCCAGAGTTTTTATATTATTATAATGGGGGGCAGTTGTAAGTCCTGACCATAGACTGTCTAATACTGTATTGTACTGTATTATATGGCCCTGGCTGATTTGCAGTCCAGTGCAACCTGCATTGAATTACCATGCAACATTCACACAACTGATATAAAAGCAGATGTTTCAAAGTCAAGCAACATGTCAAGTTTATGCAAACTGATTTTAATAGCAGGTTTAAGTAAACTAAATAAAAGGCTCAAGACAACTGCATGTACAAAGAAATGTAAAAAACATGTAAAACTATAGCAGTCTGTATTTTAAATCTAGTTGGCAGCCAGATGGCGCTCTCTGTCACAACAGAACTGCATAAGAATGCCTCACTCTGTAAACACATATATGGCTCAAATTTCTATTCAAGTTCAACTTCTAAGTCTATTCACCCATCTTCCTGCTGTCACTATGTGAAATACTGTCTGTGCTTATGTGTGATGTGATTTTAAAGTTCTAGCTGGCATGAAAACAAAAGTTAACACATTTTTTGAAAGTGTGTGAGGTTTTGAATTTTCAAATGAAAAAAGCCAAAATATTTTAAAATTATTTATTTCCGTTTTGTTTTCGGATTCTACCAGTTTCAACCTCAACCACTGTATACATCTCAATACATTTCTGCCTTTGTAAGCACTGGATTTTGGCATTTCAGTCATCAGTTTTCCACTGTGTTTGAATTATTACAACAACTTAGTGAGACAATGTAACTTTTTTACTGGTAAATGCTCAAACTTGTAATAGTTGTCTGATGGTAGCACAAGCACAGAATACTAATAAAGTCAACAAAACAAACAAACTGACTCACTAATGTCAGTTAAAAAGCAACATCTATTTAAAGTTTATTAAGCTACTGGTCATACCAGACCAAGTAAGGCCCCTGAGTGTATTCAAGAGTGCACTGAATTCAACTTTCCATTTATAAAAGAACGGAAGAGCTATTGTTTCTTTCCAAACTCACATAGTCTCACTTTAAAAACAGAGCTGAGAGTCCATTGTCAAAGGTTTGTTTGTTATACACGTTTTAAAGTAAATGTCCTGATGCAGGAACATAAAGGCATGTACAAAAGACGGCCATTATACAGACAACCAGAATCACAGACTCAGACAGTTAATTGTTCCAGTGAGTCTGGCAGAGCTCAACCCATAAAGGTCCATTATCCTCTGCTGGCCCAGTGGCCAGAGCAGACCTACAGCCCCACAGCACTGACAGCTGGTCCTGGGCTCTGTCCTTGTGTCTGCGCTGGGTCTGCCTGTGTGACTTTGCTCTGGCCTTCTGCTGGTGGGTTTGATTTGGCGGACTGTCCCTCCTCCTCCAGACCCACCAGCCTGCTGCTGACCTCCCACAGCCTGCGAGCTGCCTCCTCATCCAGGGCCTGCGGTGCCGGTTCCTTTTCTGTCATCACATCATAGTACATTCCCGTCACCCCCTCCATCTCCTCGGACACAGCCAGGTAGACGCTGGGCTGGGCCCCCAGCTCTGGGTTCTTCACCAACATGGTGAAAAAGGGACCTGTAGTGGGGTTGGTGGAGACCACAGGTTTGCTGATTTAAACTCAACCGCTGTTTTAACTATCTGTTAGATCCAAAAACAAGTACTTTAATTGGCCAATATCAAGTATCAATCCAAGAACTAACTGGATTCATGTTGTTATTTATGGGTTATGACGAAAGGAAACACTCAATGACTGTGCATCAATTACATTTGTTCATATCTAAATCTGGAACATGTTGCAGATTTTTATTATCTTCTTCATTGACTGTAAATGATCTCAGCAACAAATGCTGTTCTCCTAACATCAGAGGATTTTTATTACCTCTGAGTGCATGTAATTAAAAAAATACTCATTGTGGAATAAAATAAACAACAAGTATATTCACTGATTCCCAGAATGGGTACTGCATCAGCACCAACACTGGTAGCACTGGTGTACTTTTATTTGAACTGCAATATAATTTTTCTCGAGGTGGTTGGGGTGATGCGGCTGTGGAGGGAAAACCTTGAAAACAATGACTTTGGTCACTGTTGTTTTAAGTTCAGTTGAGGTATTACATGCTCCTGTACTGAATGCATGAAGCAAGACCAGTGGTGGAACGTGAACATTTGAGGTACTTGCACTTTACTTTAATTTCATGTTACTTCAGCACTACGACATTTCAGTGGGAAATGTTTTTTCCTCCACTACATTTCTGACAGCTACATATACTAATTACTTTACACATGAAGATTTAACATATAATGAGCTTACAAATTCCAATGTTATAGATGAAACTACCCAGTATACCATATGAAATTGTAAAAAATTGTATCCACCGCAACCAACTACAACAGTGAAATGTTTCTTACTCATTGTGGATTATTAATTACAATTAATGATTATTAAATAAATATATATTTTAAAAAATCATAGTATAACAGTCAGAGAGTACTTTTGATACTTTGGATACATTTTGCTGAAAATACTTGTGCTGTTGTATGCAGCAATAAGGAACTTTCATTTTGTACTGATTCTGGCGGCCCCTGTGGACAGAAGTGGAAGTGTTCCTACTGCCTCGTTTCATTGATTTCAAGGAGAATCTGACCGAATCCAACCCGGTGGCAAGCATTAAGTTAACTATATAGAAATAATAAACCTTCTTGCTGGTTGTCTTGTTTGTTTAGGTCACATAGAGGCATCTGACTAAAATTGAGACTTTTTCATAACCAGTTAAAAAGTGGATAATGGAGTATTTTGACAGAATTTACTTAGTAGACCAGCGCTGCATATCAGAGCTTATACAGCCTAAACTAATTGTTGCATATGCATTAGGTAAGCATTTATTGATTTCTCTGAATTCAGAAACCAATAGGCAAGTGGAATACTCACTGAGCACAGAGCTCGAGAACTGTGATTGGTGCAGACCCGTGTGCCTCCCGAGCTCCGTGGCAACAACGCCTGGGTGCACAGCATTCACTGTGACTCCTGTGCCTGTTACACACACATACACACACATACACACACAGCATTGTTTAAAAATATATATCCAATGGCCAATTACAAACGAGAACATAGGCCGTACTCCCTCCCACACATGCCCACATAAGCAACAGCCAGTAGACTTGCCTTGTAATCGCTTGGCGAGCTCTCTGGTGAACAGAACATTGGCAAGCTTGCTCTGACAGTACGCCCGCTTGGTATCAAACTTCTTCTTCTCCCAGTTCAAGTCCTCGAAGTCAATCTTTCCAACGATGTGGGCGAGTGAGGCCAGGTTGATCACTCTGCTGGGGGCGGACTCTTTCAACTTATCTAGCAGAAGATTTGTCAACAAGAAGTGGCCTGGAGGAAGACAGAAATCAAGAATCAGGTAGCGATAGAGTAAGGGAGAGTTTATAAGAATGTAAGGACAATGTACATTTATTTTCTTACTGACAGTTTAGAAGAATAGACTTTTAATGTGCCTGTAAGTACCTAGGTGGTTAACTCCAAGCTGCATGTCGAAACCATCTTCTGTCTTCCACGCTGGACATCTCATGACCCCTGCATTGTTTATCAGTACATCCACACGCTGCTCCTCTACAAGATAATAAACATAATATTTAAGAAACTGTTACTGAGTGTGCTTTATTTCTACAATTCAACATGTGATATGTTGTGTTGCCTTACCTTGTTTGATTCTCTCTGCAAACTCTCGGATGGATTTCATGGAGGCCAGGTCGAGGTGACACGCATATACGTGAGGATTCAGGGTCTTCCCTCGTATTTCCTTCGCAGCTGCCTCGCACTTCTCCATGTCCCGACAGCCCATAATGATCCGACCCCCTGATGATGTGGGAATGGAAAAAGGAGTGTGTCAGTGAGAGCAAGATAACTGCTGAAGATTTTTCTATGTTGTGTCTTCTTGCACCAAATCAGAATGACTTCATATGTCCTCCGCACCTCTCTGGGCCAGTTCCCGGGCGGTCTCTTTCCCAATGCCTGTGTTGGCTCCTGTTATAACCACAGTCTTCCCATTAATGATGGCCTTACTGGGACACCGGCCTCCAGTCACGTGGGTCCTGTGAGAAGAAAACCAAGTGCAGTGCCATTTTATTTAAACACTTGAGATTATAACACCTCCTAATTTATCACTGAAACCAGGTATGATGGATTTCTCTCAAGCTAATCCAGAAAAAATATTTATTGTCCACCTTGTACCACAAGTACATTATATAACCTCAAACCTCAATTCACCAATGACTCACCAGTGCATTTATTCAGGAAGATGTCTAGCTGTACGTTAGAGAGCCCCTGTTATACTCTAGGTCTATATTACTGTCTATCTTTAAATAACATTACTCCACTAAAGGCTAAATTACCAAAAGGGCAAAGTGGGCAACTGCAACAGAGCCCCAGAACTCCAGGCTTACTGTGTGTGAACTGGTTTGTGATCATTTAATTAAAATGTAATTTAATTTGTTTGAGGATATGCTGTACTAAAATCACAATATAAACTCATGCAATAAGGCCCTTTACAGGTGTTTTTCATTACTCTGGCTGAATAGACCTCTTGTCAGGTGGGAGCTTTGTTTGTAATTACATGATGTCACCAAACTCTGCACACACACCTTCAAAGTCTTGAGAAGAGGGTTTAAACTAGAATTGCAACAATTAGACAATCGATTGAACGTATGGCCAAGTGCAATAGAATCGCAAGAAGCTGCAACTTTTTGATAAAAGGTCAAATGTGAGACTGAACAGTATAATAATGAAGTACTGTAGTGCTGCAGAGATACCCTGGCCTACAAAATCTGATTTAAGACCGCAAATAAATGCACATCATCATGATTTTAACAGTTTTCTCAATGAAAATTGAATTTTTGATGCAAAAATGGTCACACTAATCGTGAATGATATCGCAGTATCTGTCAAAATAATCGCAATGTGATGTTTTCACCCTGTCATGCAGCCCTAGTTTCTAGTCCTCTATGTCAGTAAACTGAAAATCTTTGGGTTGTGGACAAAACAAGACATTTGAGGACACTGCATTAGGCTTTTGGAAACAGTGATCAACATTTTTCACCATTTTCTGATGTTTGATAGACCAAATAACTAATCCGTTTTATTGCCCAGACATGAAGAGGGTCCCTGTGTCAAAATCTAGTCTAGTCTATCTCTTAAGACTTTTATTTTAGTTTTTCTGTTTATATCTTGCACAAATGAGTTGTATTTATGTGTTTAATCAAATTACCACACAGCAAATTTGGGATTCCAGGACAGAACTACTGTAGACAGAGGGGGAGGAACAGGAGATAGAAACAGACACAAAACAGGGCTTCTTTGTTTTTCCTCAAATCTTAGTCGTGACTTGGTGTTGGACCTGATCTTCACCAAATCAAATGCATTAGGTCCTAGATTTGACTTGAAGTCAGCCGTTGTGTAAATCACTGCCATGTTGCATTATGTCATTAAGTAAGATAACACATGGAAAAAGAAAAGAAGCTTAAGTTCACACTAGCCTTATTAACTGTGAATGGGTGAACAGACTGCCATTAACAACTTTACAGTGTATTCATCCCAATCCAATCACCTTGTTATAAATGCTGCCTTTGTGAAGCATTTGCAAATATGCAACTGAGCCAAGGAGGCTGTATTAGTAGTTAAGTGTTTATTCCTATGGCAGGAAAAACAGGCTACTGGACAATGTAATGCAATCTAGCTGCAATGTTTTGAAGCAACACCTCTCTGAAAATACTTAATGTTATGAACATGCATGTCTTCTATGCATTAGATACCAGTGTTAAACATATTGTGTCCAAGCTTTAAGTCTGAACTCAATGGCATATTGGTATCAGCAGCAAATGTGACACATGCAGTGTAAAATGTACAGTTGCATCATGATACAGAGGCCTTATGTCATATAATGAAAAGTTACTCACTTCAGTAGAACAGCGCATCCAAACACTGTTCCAAACACAGACACTGGTAAAATATATTTGCTCATGACTCCCGAATAATGCTGGAGACTAACTATAGGATCAGAAACGTTTTTACACTCTTTCCACAGCTCATTTGACAACACTGCTGCAGCACAAGGTTAAGCGCGCATCTTTGTGGCGTCATCAATTAGCGCTAACCAACCGCAAAGCGCGAACGCCCAGTGGCCTTGTGGGAAATGTAGTCCCGACTGACCTAACAGCCAAAACAACCAATAAATAACAAACGACATCTTTTGATTTGTTTCAGCATTGTTGTGTGGAATCTGTGACAATAGAAACACTTAAAATAAATAATGCAAGAGTAGTTAGTTGAACTGATATGTGTGTGTTTTCTGTTAACATATATATAAACATATGGATTCTGACAGTTTTGACAGTGTTGTTATTTCACTATTGTGCATATAATCATTAAAACAAACCTGAGATTAATCATATTGTGCTAAACTTGCTATAAAATAAAAATGCCACGAGAACAAAATGAAACAGGAGCTCAGGATGAGGTATTGTAGGGCTTTATTTGGAGTCAGCAGAGGAGAGGACTATAAGATTTGGTGGGGGAGGGTTGATGTGGCTGTGAGTTGCTTTTTCTGTTTTTGGATTGTAAAAAAATGCAATTGTGACTGCTGTCAGAAAATCATTTCTACCTTTGTGGAGCCAGGTGAGACTGAAAAGGTGACAGTAAGACACAGAGGGGCTACTGTGGAGGGTCAGACCAATGCCCTGAGGTCGAGGACAGGGTTGAGCTTTCTACGCTACACTTTTTTAGTTTATTTGTAGATTTAAGTCATAGTTTCATCAAATTGTGGTCGACAAAAGACATCTACAAATTTCAGTAGACCCCTCTCAGCCTGAGGCCCTGTGTAAATATCCATCCACAATGACAGGGCAGTTTATAGGGCAGCTAGAACACAAAGTACAAAGATACATTTGAGGACAGTGGAAAAAAAACAAGGCCATCCCCTTGCAACAAGATTTGGAAAACTTGAGGTGACACATAAAAAGTAAAAACTAGGACGTGAATCTGGTGTGAAAAAGGAGTGGGGAGGTGAGAGAGGGAGGAGAGGGGAGGAGCAGCCCTGCTCTATTTGTTCACAGCTCAGAGGTGTGTGTCCCCCCGGTGTGTTTGACCCTCGGTGCTCTCCGCTGTCAGCTCACAGTGCTTGACCTTCACTATTATGATTTATGACAGCTCTCTTCCTCAGATAACCCAGAGGAAACTCTTCGCCTCACTGCCTGTTTGGCCCAACTGTGCTGCCGTGTGAGACACCTGAATGCCTCAAAGAGGTGCTGAAGATGCAGCTATTCAATATCCACCCACCTCCTCATCAAGGATAAAAAACACCCCGGGTCAAATTATTTAGTTTCAGGAAACAGGAAGATCATATTCCCCTGTACTGACTTTTTTTTTAATCTTTTTTTAATTCTTTTTTTTAGCTTTCTTCCTAATCATGGACTGCTTGAAAACAGCTTATCTTCATATCTCAGCCTGGGTAGGAGCCTGACCTGCATAGCTTTAAGCATATGCAAGAAAGAAAAACATAGACATAAAAAGAAGTTATTGTGTGAGTTTTGGGGTCTGATTTGAGGTAAAGATGGGAGAAAGTAAAATATTTACCAATTAACGTCATTAACAATCTTTATTTATGTAAAACAGCCTCCAATCATTTCACCTCTCTCAGCCCATCTGATCAGTGGTGTTTGGTGATGATGCGTTCAGGTTATCCCGATGCTGTTTTCTCAGTCCAATCTGTTTTGGTTGGCAAACACGCCTGGCAGGAGGCCTGTTGTTAAACATGTACAGTAAAAGGTTGGAGCTGCCAGGGCAGTGAATTAATTGAAAGTCTTGCCTCGCTGTTACCTAATAAGGACAGTTGGCAAAGTCACCGCGTGAAGTACTTGAGGCCATAAGCTGTTGAATTATGCAAGAGTGGAGCAGCTCGGTCCTTCAGCGCATGAATCAAAAGTAAAAAAGCTCACGGACGCAGTGAGGCTGGATGGTTGGATGGGGAGCGTCCAGGCGCTAGGACCCGGGACACGTGAGCGTATTTAGTTTGCCAGAGGGTGGAGACGGTGAACAATGAGGGAGCTGACTGGTAGGACCAGCAGAGGAGAAACATCTGAGACCAAACCCCCTACCTCCTCAATCCCAGAGTCCCGCCGGACCGACGGACAAAACAGACTGACAAGCCGACAGTGAGAGCAAAGACGCAGAGTTTGGAGAGACTGGGGGCATGGAGATTGGTCCATGCACGCTGCAGAGAGCAGAGATCTGTTGAGCCCCCCTGTGTGGATGTGAATGAATGGGTCCGTCTCGGTGTGTATGTGGTGCTGAACTGGGTCATGCGGACCACTGGAGGAGCGAAAGATAAACACGCACCCTCCTCCCGCTGCTTGGCAGGTTGAGATGGTGGGCGCTCAGAGGAGGGATCCCAGCCTGTGTCCTCAGCTCAGCATCCAGCATCAGATGATGCTCTTGATTTAATCCGCCTCCGAAGAAAGTCACAAACTGAAGAGCATCTCCAGAAACAGGACGGGAATCGTCTCGGGGCGAGAACAGGGCAAAGCGCAACGACGGAACCTCATCCGAGCTTTGTCACTCTTTGAAACTGCAAGGTTTTTGGTGTGTTTAATGGAACTGTACGGTGTTCTTAGCACCTAGGCCTATAACTGATCGATAACTTCCACCAAACGAGGAGATCCATCCATCGTTTCCCCCGCAGACCCCAGCGGATCAGAGCGCATCAGCTCTGCTCGCCGAGCGGATGCAGGACCATGGAGGAGAGAGACAGGTCGCCAGCAGGTGAGTGAGTAACACCTAGATGCACCCTGAGGTGCCTGAAACCGGGTCACAGGATACTGTTATCTGCAAAGAAAGAACGACAGGGCGATAAAAACAAGGGATGGAAAATGTGTATTCATATGCATCCAATGGTTCATTAAGAGCCTATACGCGCTGAAAATATGGTGCAGTTAATGTTTATTTCAAGAGCTTGGATTTGTTTATAGCTTTGGATCGAGGGTAACTTTATGTTGTCTGAACTTTGGCTCACTCTCATGGACAGTGTTCATAGGCAATATGAATAATAAGTAAAGCATTAATAAAAGTAATTAATGTCAACCGTTTTATACAGCATCACAGCTTAATTTTCCATCAGGCCATGATTAAGTCTAACTAATGTTAATGGTTGAGCTGCGGCTTAATTTGTATTTTCACCCACATTACTCGTGATACCCGCACCTATTTGTTTCCCACTCTGCTTTTGTGATTCAGTCTGTGCTAGATGGATGCGAGGGCATCCGGGGCACTCTAGTTTTAATGGCCCTTTTATACTTTGTCCAGGGCAGACAGGTGATATCTCATCGTTAATGCCGTCTAATGCATTTAAATGAGCAGCTGACTTTATAGAGCAACTCCAGTAAAAGCAGAGCCGGGATTCTGGTAACAGCAGCCACTAGACCTGGATTTGCTTTTGTCACAAACATTGTATTAGTGGAGAGGAGAAGCTGTAATAGCAGGGGCATTTACTTTAAAGAAGTAGTTCATTCCCAAATCACAGAAAATTATGTGGTAGAGTTGCTGTACTTGGAGCTCAAAACACTGTAAAAACATCATACAGACAGACTGTTGTTATTGTTTTATACTGTTTAGACATCAGCAATTATACTTAGCATTCAGCTCCACCAAAATGAATCATCAAATGTCAATTGCAGAAAACTCTACACTTTTAACATTAGCAATCTGAAAACAAACAGACCTCAAAGAGCAACCATGCATATGGGATCTTTACTCCACCTTAAATTAGACAAAATCATTCTTGGAGTCCACAGAATGGCCTGCAGAACTAGGAGGGTATCAGATTGTCAACAGATTGTCAGCAGATAGAAGGACGGCAGTATGGCTTATGGGAACGGCAGAAACCAGTCAATTACCCAGTCCCAACAGCTGGCACAGACACACCAGCTAAACCCATCATTGCCCCTCACATAGCCACACAACTCAAAGAAATGCACATTACTATTACAAAGAGTTTCAGTTCAATAAAAGGAAATCAGACTCAGCAGACAAGGTGTAGCAGTTGATTAGCTGTTACAGGAAAACATGGCTGCTCAGAGAACATAAAGGATGTAAACGTTGTCAATTAGGACACATGGAGGACAAGAAGCCTTTTTTTAATTTCCTTGTTCAAAAGTCTATGCCCTAGCTGGGTGAAGATAAAGGTACAAAACAAATGCACTTTACTGCCATCATGTCAGTGAGAAAACAGCTGCCTAATGATAGCCCTGTCAATCAGTGTACTGTGTATGTGTACTTTGCATAATTTGCACTCATGTATGTGTTTAGAATATTCCACATTTGTTTTTGCGTAGGTTTTATGTTTTCCATTTGCCCTATTAGAGTAATTATTTTATTCTTTGGTTGATCAATGTTTGATTTATGTACAGTGTGTCTTTGTCTTTTAATTGTCTTGTTTTTTTACATTGTGCCCTAGACTTGGTTTTGCAGCAACTGCTAATATCCAGTCATGCAATTAAAGTTGAATTTGAATTTGAGAAAAAGAGTGTGTGTGTGTGTGT